ACATTTACGGGCTTATTATAAAGATGTTACAAAAGACACAGATGAAGAGATGCACAGGGGCAGGTGTTGGGGCTGAAGTGTAGAGCTTCCACTGACTTTCTGGACTTGGGCTCTCCAGGAAGTTCTAAATGTTCAATTATTCCAAATCTCTGCAAACCCTGTCCTTTGGGGGTTTTACGGGGGATTCACTACATAGGCATAATTAAATCATCAGCCATTGGATCAATTTAACTTTCAGCCCCCCAAACCTCCTGAGACTGGGAGACAAGACTAAAGGGCTCAGCCTTCTAACCCTGCCTAGGTCTTTCTGGGGACCAGCCCCATCCTGAACCACCAGAGGCAGGCAGCCAGCCAAGAGCTGATGCATTAGCATACAAAGAGACATAACTGATTCAGAAAGTCCAAGGATTTTAGGAGCTGTATGCCAGAAAACAGGATGAAGAATACGTATCTTACAGTGTCACAGTAGGTAGTATACTTACAGTCTTGTGACAAAGGCAGCAAGAGTTTAAATTTGTAGAATAGCAGGTATTTTCCTCCTACTGCCATCTTTCACGTAATGAACTTTAAGGTAAAATACTTTAAGGTAAAATACTGTGACTTCTGTAAATAGACCCACAAACAAATGACTTGGCTCGAACTTTGGCTACAATGTGAATGTGTGCCTAATCCATGGAATAAAATCCTAACCCCCAAGGTGATGGTATTAGAAGGCAGGGCCTTTGGGAGATGATTAGATCATAGAACAAAGCTCTCAAGTGTAAGACTGAGGCCCCACTCCAGATAGCTGTCACCCCTACCACATGAGGACACAGTAAGAAGGTACCACACTCTATGAACCAAAAAGCAGTTCTCACCAAATATGGAATCTGTCGGTACCTTGACCTTAACAAATTCCCGTTACCTGTAAGTCACTCAGTCTAAGGAGTGTCATTACAGAAGCTCAATGAGACTAAGATACCTTGTAGACTTTTAAATAAAGTTGTGTGTGGGAGGGTACCCAATAAGAGACCTCATTAGGTCCTTGCCACATGATTATCTGAATGCTCCTCTCTTTAGCACCTGTCCAAATCCAAATCACTTGGCATCTGCTGGTCTGGTCCAGTTTTTAAAAACAGATACTCACTGTAGGTACTTGGAAGGCTCTGGATGTGCAACTGGAAACAAGACAGGTGAGACTCAGCCCTTATGATGCTTACATTCAAATGAGAAAGACCATAAACAAATGAGAGGCAGTGACAGAATGGGGCAAGTTCCAAGCAGGAAACAAAGATGTAGAATAACTCAGATAAGAGTCTCACTATAAAGACATGGAAGTGAAGATTCCACCCTTGAAAGGAAATGGGTTGCAAGTGCCAAGTATTCTGGGCAGAAAAAAAGGCTCAGCCTGAAGAACAGAGATGGCGGAGTCCAGTGTGCCCTGGGAGGCAGGTAAAGTTAAGTTGGTGGAGGTCTGAGAGGCCTTAGAAGGAATCTGGGTTTACTGTTATAGCCAACAGAGGAACATGAAGAGATGATCCCCTAAGTTCTTCCCAGACATTTCCTAAGAACAGACTCTGGTTACTTTGCCTGTTCCCAGGCCTCAAGCCCTCTAGGCAGCAGGATAGAGCATCCCAGGCTCCATGACCCTCACTGTCTAGGCCAGCTCCATAGCCAGCCTAGGACCATTCCTTCCCAGGCCTCTTCCACTGTGTCCCCTAGCCTGCTTAGCTCCAGCTGTACGAGAAGCTCAACACTCAGGATACCCCTCACCCTTCTCCAGGCCTGAGCATGTGTAATCTAAGTCCATCTCCTACCCACCCCAAGCACCTGATGATGCTCTGCATATCTCCACCTTCCTCTGATCACCCCTACTACCTTTCAGTTGGACTTGCTGGAACTTTGGTTTTGCCCGCACCCTCTCAAGGGCCTATGTTCTCTCCACATACCCTCACCACTGGGACAGGTGGTGGGATAGGTGTCCTCCCCTCCACACTGCCTTCCCTGCCCCTTCATCTTCCCTAGAGACATCTGCTTTCAAGTCCCCATTGACAGGGAGCCTCTACTCCCCTTCTTCACAGTGTTGCTAACTCCCTCCTGGGTCAAATTTCACATCCTGCGAGGGTTACTACTATCTGTCCACATCTTGGTCCTTAATGGCTTCACCACTGGAGTAAATAATCCTTTCCAATCTCTAGACTATCGGCTCCTTATCATCTCCCCTCCCACTACCCAATCCTTCCCATTACTGCAGCCACTGAACCCCGTATCTATTAAAGGTAAGCATGCTATCAGTTGTGGTGGCACATACCTGCAATCCCAGCACTTGCAATGTGAGGCAGGAAGATCAACAGGAGTTTGAGACCAGCCTGGGCTACATAGTGAGTTGAAGGTTAGCCTGAACTACACAGTGAGATCCTGTTTCAGAAAACCAACCAAAACAAATGGACAAACAAAACAAGTACACTTGTAATATCCACAGTGTCTGTAACCTCAAGTTCAAAGATCTCACTTTATCCCTTTCAGCCCTCCTTATCACTCCTGCTCATTGTAACTTGTGCATACTGGAGACCTGCAGAGGTTAAATATTGAGTCTTACCTCTTTTCTGCTTACACATAACCTTTTAGAGAGCTCATCACCCTCTTCTTTCCTCCCAGAGACACATCCATTTGCCTTCCTGACACCTGAGACTGAAGTGATTTTTCTCCTGGAACCTGTCCTTCCCATATCCCAGATAAAGGCGCCTCCATCTTTTCAGCTGCTCCGGTCAAACACCATGGGAGCAGCCTTGGCTCCTCTGGCTCACACATCCAGTCTATCAAACTAACATGTGGCTCTACATTCAAGCCATTTGCACAATCTATCTGCCTGTTTTTAAACCACTATTACTTCTATCACTGATCCAAGTCCATGAAGTCAGTCGTGTCTTACTGGCACTATGGTCCTAGGCTCCTGACCAGCCTCTCTGGGCTTCTGACTTCACCCTACATTTGCCTTCCACAGTGCAGTGAGACTTTCAAATCTGCCAGTCACATTTACTACTCTGCTCAAAAACTAGCGGCAATTCAACCCATTCCCAGTAAAAGGTAAAACCTACAATCCACAACAGGACTGGGAATCCCACCTCCTTCCTGCCTGTCTCCTGCACATGGCACTCTTCTCTTCCTTTGCTCCAGCCACCCTGGCCTCTGCACTGGCCTGCAACATGCTGACCACACACCCTGTTCTCAGGGCTCTGCCGCTGGCGGCACCCTGTGCTTGGTAGCCCTTTTTTAGCACTTGCCCTGATACCCCAGAAGCCCTTCAGATCTATACTCACAGGTCATCCTAGCTGGGAGGCCTTATGTACTACCTTATATAACATGACAATCTCAAGCTCCTCCATCACCTTTAACTTTTTCCACAGCCAAGTGCTGCCTGACACATTATACACTTACTTGTTCATAGACACATTATACACTTACTTGTTTATAAACTATTTTCTCAATTAAATGTTACCTCCAAGTGAGGGAGGCGTTGTGTTGGGCACTATTAGATAACACCAGCGCCTTGAACAGCGCCAAATATGTATACGGGACCCTAAAGATTTGTTGAAGGAACAATTCCCTGTCAACTCACAGCTTTTGGTAACACCAGTCTTTTGATACATTACTTGTCTATGTATCCTACAGCTGCCTCAAGAGAAGGAAAAGTATCTTCATGTCTCCAAAGTTTAGAATAGCACTGCCCAACACACCAAGCCACAGTGGAAACGTTCTATACGTCACTGTCCATCCAGTGGCCACTGGCCGTGCATGCCTCTGAAAGTGTGAAACGTGGCAGTGTATGAGTAAAGGAACTAAAGTTTAAAACGTATTAAAGTTAAGGGGTCACATGTGGGTATGGCTACTGCACGGTATAGCAAAGATCTAGAGCATAAAGTGGAGCACAAAAAATGGAGCAATTCAAAAAATTTCAAATGAGCTGAGTAAACTATAAACTGCCTTACTGCCAATGCTGATGGAACTATCTATAACAGTGCTGGCGAACCTATGGCATGCGTGCCACAGCGGGCACACAGTCAAGTCACCCCAGCGTCACACCAGCAGCTGAGCATCAGATAACAAAAGCATGCCAAATGCAAAGTTTACCTTTCAATAAAATTTGTAACATTGAAAGCTCTGTTATTATGTAAGACAAGTATATGTTTGTTTTTCCTAAACTAAAACTTCAGTATTTGGCTTTAAGTGCAGTGCTGGCACTTTGTGATAAATAAGTGGGTTTTGGGTTTCAGTCTGGGCACTCGGTCTCAGAGGTTCACCATCGCTTATCTATGAGTTCTGGTATTGATATTACGATTTACAGAGTTCGCTGAGAGCAGCTGCGCACTTATCTTACAGATTCTGACCCTCAGACTAGCGCAGCGCTCCGCCCTCAAGACATACTGAATAAATACGACGATAAGGAAGTAAATCAGAAAAGGAAAGGGAACAAATAGAAAAGATCCTCCTGTAATAAGTGTTCCACTTCGGTCAGCCACAGAAAAATATGTTAGCATGCAAATAAGAAAACACAATGCAGTTCCGCTCCACTCCTATTTTTAACCCTCTTCTTGGAGGAAGTAACTCATCTAGTCTCAGGGGTAATGTGCAGATGCAATAAACAAGGTGGTTTTCTATTTTTAAAACAGAAAGAACTCTTACTAGGCCTCAGCACCGTAGAAAACGTTTAATTCCGCGCTACTTCGCTTATCCACGGCCGGCCGGCTCCCCTCCAGCCTGCCCATCCGAAAGCGGGACCCCACGCACGGCCCCGGACGCACCTGAGCGCCGCCCCCGGGCTGGGGCCGAGCGGGCTGCGCAGGAGCCGACACCCCCGGAGCAGGGGGTAGACGACCCGAGGGGGCAGCAGCGCCCGGGGACACCTGAGAGCGCCCTGGGCTCCGGAAGGCGGGCCGAGTTGGCGGACCGCCCGTCCCCGCCCGCTCCGCCTCCCGTCCTTGCGGCGGCGCGCCGTCCCGGAGCCAGCGCAGGGCAGTTACCTGTGCGGTCAGGCCCTGCTCCTCGTCGTCCTGGCCACTCAGGACGCGCCGCAGCTTCTCCATGGCCCCGTCGGCGGGCCGCAGCGCGATCCGCCCGGAAGCCCGGAAGCCTTACCCAACGCGCCGGCCGGAAGTGCGGGCGCGCCGCTTCCGGAGCTCCGGCAGGGCGCCGTGGGAGTCGGCGCACGCGCGTCTCCTCCCTGCCAGCTGTGAGCGCGGGGCCCCTGGACTGCGCGGGGGCGTTGCAGGCCTTAGATGGAGTACGGTGTTGAGTCCAACTCTTTAGGCCGCGGCCGCACGCCCTGCAGGCCTGGCGTCCTGCAGACTCCTCCAGGAGAGTCCCGCGGGACGAGGTCGCCGCGCATATGGCCCAGAACCTGAGCGTGTCTCCGACTGCCGCTCTGGGGTCACCAGAGACCCCCGCAACGCTGTCTTCCACCCCGCTCCTTCCCTGGCCTGCTGGGCGCCCTGGAAAATGCCTTTAGAGTAGATAACATTTCAGGCTGTCTCCAGAAATGCAAATTCAGCTTTTGTGGTGACTTTATAGAATCCCAGTTAATGACAATTGCCTGTACCTGTAAATACTTAGAACAGAGCCTAGTGAATGGCAACTGCTGAATAAATGTTGGTTTATTAACTGCTAAATAATTGTTCATACAATTTGTGCTCTGGATCCCTTTCTGTCCATATCGCTCATCATGCATTGAACTAAGATTGAAGAGAATCAAAGGTCTTAAGTATTAAAACAGAAACACTTATTCTTCTGGAAGACTGAATAGGTAAAACTCTGGAAGATATAGGTGTAGGCAAAGACTTTATGAACAAAACCCGGATCGCACAGGAAATATGAACAACTGGGATCACATCAAATTAAAAAAGCTCTTGCACAGCAAAAGAAACCGCCAACGGAACAAAGAGAGCCCACAGAATGGGGAAAAAAAATGTTTACTAGTTACTCCTCAGGCAAAGGACTAACACGTAGAATATATAAAGAATTTAAAAATCAGACTCCTCCCCAAATTTAAAGACGTAATACGAGAATGGGCATCTGAAATGAATAGATAGTTCTCAGATGAAGAAGTACAAACCACAAATAAATATATTAAAAATGCTCAACATCAGTTGTCATTTGAGAGATGCAAATTAAAACAATGCTGAGATTCTATCACACTCCAGAAGTAATAGCTATCATCAAGAACTCAACCAATAACAAATGAGGGTGAGGTTGTGGGGAAAAAGGAATCCTTCTCCATTGCTGGTGGGAGTGTGGACTGGTACAACTACTATGAATATCAGTATAGACACTAGAGGTTCCATTTGACCCAGCTGTTCCTCTCTTAGGTATCTTCCTGAAAGAGTCAAAAGCATCATACTGCAGTGACATATGCACACCCATGTGTATAGCAGCACAATTTAGAATAGCCAAATCTTCGAAACAGTCCATATGTCCATCAACAGATGAATAGATAAAGAAGATGTGGTATTAATATACAATGGAGTACTATTTTGCCATAAAGAAGGATAGACTTGAGTCATTTGCAGGAAATAGATGCACGCTAACACCATAATGGATACACTGAAGACCATAATCTTAAGCAGAATAAATCGGACACACAAGTTTAAATACTGCATTATTTCTCTTGTATGAGAAACACAGAGACCATAATGGAGGATAGATATTGAGAAGTAGGTGTGTTCAAATGGGAAGGGGAGCAGGATAGGGAGGGAAGGAAGGGAAAAGGAAAAATGAATAGAAAGAGGAAAATGGGTAAAAAAAAAATACTTTTCTAAATGGGGAGGAGAAGAAGGGCTCAAGGGAGGGGAGGGGAATGGGTGAAAAAAGAATCAAGGTATGTTGTGTACAAGTACAAATTTCCTATGATGAGTGTGATCAATATATATGACAAATATGTACTAATAAAAAGTATAAAGTTAAGAAAATTTTGCTGATATGTATTATTTTAAAGAAAGCCCCAAAGATGGTTTTTTAATAATAATGTGTTAGGCTTTATACTTTCCTGGGAGATCACTTTTCATACTTCAAACTCCATAAAGAGAGAAGATCCCTGTCCCAAACCGTTTCCAAAGAGAAAGCAGGGAGAGCCTGGAGCCCTAAAGTCACACTGCCCTTTGCTTCATCTTTCTGACCACAGCTGGCAGTGGCAGCCGTGAACCCCTGCAGCAGTCACAACCATGCCTGGGAAGTAGCTGCTGACCCTTTGTGAGTGTCCATTTGAGGCCTTTACAGACCCATTTGCTGGTCCATGAAAACAAGTGACACATTCATGAACCAATGCTTTCAATTACTGATGGTCCAGCTATAAACAAGTTTGCGTTGTTGCTTGCTTAAAAGGAAAAGTAAATTCAATAATTTCCCCAGATCCACTGGCCATATTCTTGTTTATCATCTGCTGATGGAAATGCAACTGTAATATTATATAAATGAATAAAAATGCCCTCATAATAGCTGTGGAAACAGCCAGGAGTAATCAATAGAAAAGAATGTCATCAAAACAAGAGTGTACCAATTCCCCAAGATGAAAGTAATAATTACTTATCACAAATATATACTACTAATAAACATATTTAAAAATAATTTCAAAATAACATAATCTCTTAAAGGGATCAGTGGATTAATATGTACTTGTATATTCTGCACTGTTTTTAGATTTTAAAAAGCACTAAGAATTCACAAACTGGAAAAGATAAAATAATTCACGAATTAATTTTTGAAGCAAGGTTTAGTCAAAGATGGACCGAAGCAAGGGCACTTAGGTTCACAAGGCCTTGCCACACTCAGCATGGCTGTGGCCCAGCAGCAGGTGGCCCTGGACACAGCTAGAAATGTAGCTTCAGGCCCTGTGGGCAGCTGAGTCAGAATCCCATGGGAACAAGGTGTGCAGGACAATGTAGTGTTTGTTTAGGCTGCAGTTCTGTTAGTGCTCGTGGAAAGAGACTGGAAAGGTATTTATAGAGAAACAAGTACTTGGAAACAGGTACAGTGGTGCATGCCTGGAATTTCAGAACTGTGGGAAGCTGAGGCAAGAGGACTGCAAGTCTGAGCTCAGCCTGAGCAACTCAGAGACTTAGCGAGACCTTGTCTCAAAATAAAAAGGGCTGGAAAGCCAGGCATGCTGGTGTACACCTGTAATCTCGGGATTTGAGAGGTTGAGAAAGGAAGATCACTACGAGTTTGCAGCCAGTCCTCCTGGGCTACACAGTGAGTTCAAGATCAGTCTGAACTACATAGGAGACCCTGTCTCAAAAAACAAAACAAATAAATAAATAAATGAAAAGGGCTGGAGACATAGCTTAGTGTGAAGGCCTTGGGTTCAATCCCTACTACTGAAAGGGGGAAAAAAAGACAAAAAACCCAAGGACTTAGCTGCCAAGCTTCAGAGATCCTACTTTGCCAGTCTCTTTTCATTTCCTCTTCCTTTCTCTGTCTCTACTTCTGCCAGAGTCTTGGCCTCGTACCTCCTGTGAAGAGAGCCCTCACTATCCCCGGGCCCCTGCACTCCCCTCAACCTCATTTCCCATTCCATCAAGAAAGTGAGCACTGGACTGAGATGCAGGTATGATGCCGCCTCCCGGCTTTAACCCCTGATTTCCTGCACTAACCAGGCTATGGATGAGAGCTGCTGCTAAGGAAGGGTGTGACCTTTGGTGAGATGGTTTTCTTCTGTAGAGGGCAAGTCCCAAACATGAACCCTGCTGGGAGCTGTCAGCAGCCAACACTCAGTGACATCCGAGGTTATACATGTAAGCAGTAGCCAATCTGGGGACCGCAGAGAAGTCAGCGCTGTTGTAATGCTAATGGCCATGTCAGGGTTGGGAGCTGGGGCAAGGCTAGCATCTGCAGGGAAGATGCTGTGACAGCTTCTGTAGACAGCGTAGGCCTGTGTAGGGCCGTGTAGGGGTGGCTGCCACAGCCAGCAAGGGATTTTGATCACCAAGGGAAATGTGTGAGGAAACACGGGTACAGAGGTTCTGTGGATAATGAAGACAGAGACCACAGACTGGATTATACTCACAGCCTAAGACTTCTTGAAGCCCATTGGCCAAGGAACTACAGGTGACTTTAGGGACACCTTTACCCAGAGCAAGGGTAGGGGAGCAGTCTGTATTTACACCCCGATTTTGCTACTTAGTGTGATCAGTTTCCTGTGTCTTCTCCCACTCCTGTGACCTATACATTGAGAAGAATGTTAGTACTTGCGCCACAGGGACTCAATGAGTTCATTCAAGCAAAGATCTTTGAAGCATGGCTGACACATATCAAGTGCTTGCTCAGTGAGTGACGCAGGCGGCCATCATCATTTGTACAAAGCAGTCATCATTTCTCAGCTTGATTGCTTATTTGCTCTGTGACTTTTGTTTTGTTTTGTTCTTAACTTCATGTCTCTGTTTAAAAATAGCATTATTCCATGTACTTTTTGATTGATCACATCTTTTGAAAATTCTGTTCCCTGGATAAGAAAGTGATTTGCAGTTTCATTTTGGGCAATTCATCTAGGCAATCAGCAACAACAAAAAGATGTTTTGAAAAGTACTGTTTTGTGCTGCTGTAGAGAACATTAATATTCAAGATGCACATCTTATGGCCCTATTTTGCACACAGCACCCTCTTTCTTGGTAGTGTGTTACATTTGCTGAGTAAATTGCACCCTGCCTTCACTCCAGAATGATTCAGGTTTAAATATCAGAAAATGGGGTCAGGGATATAGCTCAGAGGCACAGCACCTGCCCAGCAAACACAAGGTCTTGAGTTCATTTCCCAGTACAAATAAATAAAAAAACAAATAAATACCAGAAAATGTACTGAACTGCACTATTATCAAGTCTTGGTCTCATCACAAGACAATGAATATATTTTTAAAACATTTGGCTGGGATGTTTCATGTGCTATAACACAGTCAAATGCAGGAAATAGAATCCATGCATAAATATTTCTAAAAAGTTAAAAGGAAAACAATCATGGGCACACATGTCAGATCATAAGTAGGGTGATCTGTGACCATTGTGAAAGTGAGGTTCTCCAGCCTGCCCACCAGCCATCCTTAGAGCTTTTGTAAAAAATCTTAACTGCTTTCTGGATGTCCAGGTGGGCTCTTTCTAGAATGACAAGTAGCATACATAGGAGTT